GCGTCCTGCAGGGTTGGTTCTTGGTGGTGGCTTCTACCTGGCAGGACTGGGGACTACGCTTCTAATACACACTGCATACTCCCACATGGCCTCTTCTCTGCGTGCACGTGAAAAGGTGAGAGGTCTCTGGGTCTCTTTTCCTTTTTGAATATAAAGGACAGCACGTCTATTGCATTAGGTTCTCACATTACTGACACATTTCAACCTTACATTGTATCGATTAAAATTGCCAATATAGATCAGTTGAATTTAAGGTTTCAGCAAATGAATTGTCAAAGAGGCCGACAATTCTAGTTGATGACACAAATCAACAGATGCGTGGAGAAGCATCGAATACATAATATATATGATATGTGTGTGTGTGTAATGTATAGGATTAAGTATATACATATATATATATATTAGCTATATAAAAATTAATATATATATAAAATAGTATAATAATATTAATAATATATATAGATATATAATATATTTTTTTTTTTGAGATGTAGTTCGCCTCGCTCGCTGTCGCCCCAGGCTGGAGAGGCAGTGGCACGATCTCCGCGTCACTGCAAGCTCCGCCTCCCGGGTTCACGCCATTCTCTCTGCCCTCAGGCTCTCCAAGTAGCTTGGGCTACAGGCGCCTGCCACCACGCCCGGCTAATTGTTTTGTATTTTTAGTAGAGACGGGGTTTCATCATGCTAGCCAGGGTGGTCTTGATCTCCTGACCTCGTGATCCGCCCCGGCTGCCTCCAAAGTGCTGGGATTACAGGTGTGAGCACTGCGGCCCGGCCAGAATATATATTTTTTTAATCACTGAAGGATAATGTGCGCATGCAGGAAACTTGTAGGAATGTTCCTAGTAAATCGGGTGAAACCTCAATCTCAATTGTAAGAGGAAAATGTGCCTTCCTCCTTTCTTTTCTGGCAGAAGAATGTGAGGAAGCAGAACCACAGATATCAAAGAAAGAGGAGCCCTGGGGACAGCTGAGGTGCTGGTGAGGAGGGAGAGCACCGAGCAGATGAGGAAGCCCCGCCCTCCCTGCACCTGCTCCTGACCCGGCCTCCTGCTCTGTGGGCCCCGCGCGCCCCCTGCTGGTCCTGAGCGGCACCTGCGCCCGCCCCCTCCGCCTCCCTGCAGGGAGGTTTGTGTCTGGGCTCACACTGACCTCCCCTCACTGTGTGTCTCGCACAGTAATACACGGCCGTGTCCGCGGCGGTCACAGAGCTCAGCTTCAGGGAGAACTGGTTCTTGGACGTGTCTATTGAAATGGTGACTCGACTCTTGAGGGAGGGGTTGTAGCTGGTGCTCCCACTACTACCATAGATATACCCAATCCACTCCAGCCCCTTCCCTGGGGGCTGGCGGATCCAGCTCCAGAGGTAGTAACCGCTGATGGAGCCACCAGAGACAGCGCAGGTGAGGGACAGGGTCTCCGAAGGCTTCACCACTCCTGGGCCGGACTCCTGCAGCTGTACCTGGGACAGGACCCCTGTGAACAGAGAGATCCACAGTGAGCCCTGGGATCACAGACAGCCTCCCATATCGTCATATCTGCATCCCCGAGACACTCACATCTGGGAGCTGCCACCAGGAGGAAGAAGAACCACAGGTGCTTCATGTTCTTGCACAGGAGGTCCATGATTCTCAGCATTTCCCATGTGAGCTGGACCCTGAATTTAAGGATATGTGTGGTGGTTTCCTGTGGGTGCCTAAGTGAGGATTTGCATGTGGGTGGTGCCTTTGTATGGAGAGGTGAAAAGGGATGAGGGAGGCCCGAGGCTTTGGGGCTCACCCTGAGAGGAGGATGCTGGCTGTGCCCTCTGAGAACTCAGTTCTCTTCCTGGGGCCTCCCCTCACCAAGCCCAGAGTCCTCTTCTTCCAGGTAGGGAGATGTGCTGAAGGAGCTGGTCTGGGAGATGAGTGTGATCATGGATCAAGGACAGATTTTGGCACAGATTCAATACTGTTCTACCCGTGAAGATTTATATGAAACCAACCAAACATCCAGGTTATCTAAATTGTCAAATCTCCATTCAAAACATTAGGGCAGCAGCTAAATATATTAGTCACAGTGAATTTATACAAACCTACATCCATGCGATGTTTATTGTAATTCAGAATATCCATCATGGTTAGAGGGAATATGTGTGTCCCAGAGAGTGCATCATAAAAAAAATATCTGAGACTTTCTCTTTTGTGACCGTTTGAAATTTGGGATTCTGTCTGCAATCTCAGGAGAAGGTAGTGGGACATATCTCCAACTGTCTCAATCTGTGATGCTGAGAATGTGGCCTGACCTTTATACACTTCTCTGTGAATAGATGTAGATTGGGGATCAATATACATATATACATTTATGTTGTTCCTTTTCATTAATGCCTTAATGTCATTTTCTAAGAAAATCTTCAATCTAATAATCTTTGTCATCTCCTCCATGCCAGCACAGCTGCCTCTTCCTGGGGTTTCTGACACTCCCAGGATGTGGTTCTCACACTGTGTCTGCCGCACAGTAATACACGGCCGTGTCCTCGGATCTCAGGCTGCTCAGCTCCACGTAGGCTGTGCTCATGGACATGTCCATGGTAATGGTGACTCTGCCCTGGAACTTCTGTGCATAGCCTGTGTTACCATTGCCAATGATGATCACTCCTATCCACTCAAGGCCTTGTCCAGGGGCCTGTCGCACCCACTACATAGCAGAGCTAGTGAAGATGTATCCAGAAGCCTTGCAGGAGACCTTCACTGAGGCCCCAGGCTTCTTCCCCTCAGCCCCAGAATGCACCAGCTGGACCTGGGAGTGGGCACCTGTGGAGACAACACAGGAATGGATGAGAGCCCCCCTGACTGCACTCAATCCCGTCCTCATCACTGGGACTTGGCAGCCTCTCACCTGTCGCTGCTGCCACCAGGAAGAGGATCCTCCAAATCCAGTCCATGGTGAGGAGCTGCGCTGCCTGGGGCTTCTCTAGCTGAGGGATGTGGCTTCTGGGTGATGATCTCAGGGCTGAGACATATCCATATTTACCTCAATGGACCTCAGGTTATTTGCATATTTATGAGTCAGAGCATTTCATGGCTCAAGACCCTGATTCAGGATAAGGAAGGGAAGGTAAATGACACATCACCCTTACAAGAGTGGGATGCTGATGGTACAAGCCCTAATCCTCCTTGAGGAAATGTAGGCTCTGCTCCGTTTACAAACGTTTGGTGTCCAGACGTCCTTTCACTGAAGACCAAGCACCCAGAGGACATGCTCCTCACTGTGATCCCACATTTGATTAGCTCAGAGACCACCTGGATGATTTCTGGAACCATCACTCTCCATGACACTAAGAAGGTGCCTTGACCTCATCCTACTCCCATCAGGCATCAGCACAGGTCACTGGTGACTCTGAGAAAGTGACAGCTGATGTCCCACGTGAGTGTCCAGCAGGTCCCCCTGAGATCATCTGCGTGCTCCTGAGACAGTGTCTCCAGCACCTGCCTGGCTTCCTGATCCTCCATGATCTTCAATAGAAACACTCTTGGTTTACAGATTTGCCCTGTGATGTACAGTTAGAGCTAATTTTCTCATCTCATGGACAGTAGGAATCAGAAGATGTAAGAGAAGTTTGGGGTTCCTGATGAACTCACTGCTCCCAAAATAATCGTGAAGGAATCTGTATTTTGGATAAGTTTGGGTTTTATTTCCTACTCCATTTAATAGAATTTCACGAACTGTTTACATGCTTTCAGTTCATATCCACAGATCCTCATCTTTCCATGTTGATTTCTGACTCACTAGGTCTGTGCACCTGCCACACTCTCAGATCCATCACTGCCTTGTCACACACACAATGTAGGCAACATTACTTAACACTGAAATCTGAATTGTTTATTCATAGGAATATAGAGACTCCCACAATTCTGTATCCTTTCAATTAGTAAAACCATTCCTGTTCTTTATATCCTCACTATTAAGATATTTACAGTCCTTGAAACCCACTTTAAAAAATAGTTCTGGTTGCCTCAAGTTACATGAATGATTCTGATGTAACAGGATATTTAAAGGCACATCAGCAACTTCTTGAACACTCGGGTTTTTTTTTTTTGTTGTTGTTGTTGTTGTTTTGTTGACAAAGGAAGACACAGGCGCTGAGAGGAAACCTCATCCCCAGCCTCCTGTGCACCTGCTCTGGGGCTGGAACCTGGGCTGGGTGGCTCCTGAGTGTCCCCTCCAGCCCAGTCCTTGCCTTGAGAGGAAGTTCCCATGGGACTCACAAAGCATTTTCCCTCAGCCTCCCTAGCCTAACATGAAATGGCTTTGTCCTGGCTTAGAATACTCCTTCAGTGACACCATATGCTGCTGACACCGTCTCTTGAAACATCTACTGATTAGCCTTACTGAACCTAATGAACTCTACAGGGAGACTCAAAGCAAGGATTCTATGATACAGGAGGGAGCGCCTTCTCTAAGCTCCAGATGCACCGAATCAGAGGAAAATGAATCCAAAACCTTACAGGAGATTTGGGTGTGCCTTGTTCCCTGCAGCTGAATGTTGCCTCTGAGATTTCCAGCAGGTGCAGGAAAATGAATCCAAAACCTTACAGGAGATTTGGGTGTGCCTTGTTCCCGGCAGCTGAATGTTGCCTCTGAGATTTCCAGCAGGTGCAGATGCTTTCAGATGAGAGCACATTTCATATCCAATATTCCAATAACACACGTTTTCCCTTCTTCCTAGTGCCTCACCTGTAGAAAGTGCCTCCTACACTGACACTAGGCCCAGGTATCTTACTTTTCCTCCTAGAGATCTAAAGCAAACAGGATACAAGTGGAGACTTTGGAAGTGCATGCAGGTTGTTATTTTCTTTGTCTCAGCTAAGAACCTTGCAAAGGCTTCATGATAAAAGAAGCTGAGATGAATGAGGAAGTTTCCAAGTACTGTTTTCAAAAATGTTGAAGTCAGAGGCTTCGTATTGCTCTACTGTCCTTGTCTGAGTGTGCCATTTTTTTTTATTATTTTTTTAAATTTTATTTTCTGTATGTTCTCAGAGTCTGTGCATTGCCACACTCTCGTGTTTAATCCAGAGCCATCATCCTGATTAGAATGGATTGTGCAGTGCAGGTCAGCACTGCCTGTTTTGACAATGGAAACCTAGAGACGCGATCGGCTTCCTCTTCTGGGCTGCGACTTTCACCAGGAATCCCCAGGAGAAAAGCTGTTTTTGACCATTACTCCCTTTCGTGGTTTCAGTGTACCTGGACTATTTACTTTCATCTAACCCTATTGGCTAACTTTACTCATTTGTATAATAATGGAAGAATGGGGGAGAAATCTGCAATGCGAGATTTGTCTTCCTTCATGTAGGATAAGTTCTGGGAACGTCCTTCCCTGTCGAAGCTTTAGAAAAAGGCTCCTGTTACATTTCTCAGTAATTAATATTTTCCAATCTGACCGATAAGAAATGTATTTGGATAGTATTTTTTAGAATCTGGAGGTTTCTGGAGAGAAAGCCCGTAAAACGTAGAAGCACAAGACCCTCTGGTACAGTCATGTTGACCGAGTCCACATCTGTCTTTCGGACGTCTATAGTGCTGACCACGTAAGTGTCCTCAACAGCCTGTGGCTTCTGCAGCTTCTCTTCCAGTTAAGCAACTGTCAACTGCCATTCTGGACTTGCCTATCTATCCACGTCCTTGAGTGGGTATTTATTTTTCAATTTAAGTTACTTAGTGGATTCCAAAAAGTATTGGCATTCAGATTATGCAGATTTCTTTTGACATAAAAATGAGGGTGATGAACATTATAATCTACATGTCAGAGCATAAACCAAAAGCCCAATCAAAGGTCTCCATTGATGTGCTACTGGGGGCAGAATTTTGATCTTATTATGTATAACAGGCACCTGGTATGACATAAATGAACAGGCAGGAAAACAGAGAAAGGACATGGCACAATGCTTATGAAACAGTCTCAGTAATTTTAATTTTCTTCTGAGGAAGCTAAAATTGTGAAAGTGAAGCAGTGTGACTGGTCATGTCTCAGGTGATGTTCTGTTCTGGAAAGTATCTCCAGTCCTGGGCTGGATCCAGTAGGTGCACTCAGGCCCCCAAACCTGAAACAGGGACTCTTATTCCTTAAACACAAGATATTCCAATAAGAAAGCTGTTCTCAGGTGAGCTACAGAGCAGGGAGGAGGAGATGGAGGTGTCCTTCGCTTCCCAGAATTGCTGAAACTTGAAGACCAAGGCCACCTCTGAGAGGCAGAGATCAACCTTATGAGTACATCACATCAGCTCTGCCTTCAGGAATCTTTGGCTGTGTGGGAGGATAAGGAATGTGATTTATTTCTTTCTGCTCACCCAATGTGCTTCAGAGGAAATTAAACTGAAAATTCAATAACTATTTTTTTGTCATATTAGGGGAGAGAACATGTATAAATCATGGCAATACAAGTGCTCCCTCCAGAGCCTGCAGAAGGAGCAAGTGGACAATTGAGAGAAGAAAGCGCCCTGCCCCAGGAAGCAGGTGCCCTAACATCATGCCCTGAGAACCGTGCTCTAGATGCCATGCATCAGTGGAACCTGGGCTGGGGGCTTGGGATTTGTAGGTAGTGTGGGGAGCAGAGCACAGCTCCATTCCTCTTCACTGTGTGACCTGGGATGTGGCCTCTTCCTCTGAGCTTCATTCAAACAAGGTGTTAATATAAAATTGCAGCATTAAATTTACGTATAACCTTTCAAGTAGGAGCCTGTGCATTCAGAAT